ACTCTCGAATATATTTAAAGACTGCCGATAAAAAATTACTCCGTACAAAAGACGAAGTGACTTAACTTTATTGTTTTAGTAAATGAGCTAGTAAGAAAAATATGTAAAGAAAGTTAATACAAGAAAAAACTTTGACCAATTGAATATATACGAAGCTTTTATTTTCATACTCAAAATGAATACTCCGTAGGCCACTGTTAATGTTAACTTTCTTCTTCTTCTCATTTAGGTTCATTACTGCAAAATTTCAAAGCAGCAATAACATATACACCTGCATTCAACATGTTACCAGCTTAGGATCCTCTCTCTGATTTGCAAATCCAAAATAGGTGCATTTGCTAGTAAAAAGTAACAGACACTTCCAGTTCATATTGAGATACCAGGTTCTCCTCACCACACGGCATTTTGGAATGGGGTACTAAAAGTTTGGTTTTGATGTTCTGCCTTTTGGTTCCAAACTTCGGGTGAAACTTGGCACATCCCTTGACAATCTGGCCCGAGTTGTCGTACAAAGTGGCACTAATTCTGAACTCGGTGGCAGGTGCCACAACAACAGAACGAGTCAACGGAATCGCACTGTCATAAGAGCGCAATGACACGGCATCATCCTTGGATTTGTAAAACAACGAGAGAGGTAGCATTCCCTCAATGTCCTGAATAGCTATGATTTTTCCATGCACTTTCTCAGGCAAGTCGCCCCCTTCCCTCATCAAAATAACTTCAACCGTAGCGCTAAAAGCCTCTTGCACCACTGCATAGCCAACTGTGACTTCTCCACGTTTCCCAAGCACAGTCTCCTTCAAACGGCAATCAAAATTTGCATAAGATAATAGAGTGACCTCATATCGTACATTCCACTCAATAGTGCCACTCACAATCTCCCCTTCTTCATCCTCTAGCATGATACAGATTTCGAAGTCAGAAAGGCCTGCAATGCCGCACAAAGGACCGGTCAACGTTAGACCCCCTTTGCGATCTGTGATGCTATTGTCGCTTAGCTTTTGATCGTACCCCGTATGAACCCATGCTCTATCCTCAACCTTGACACTTCCATGCACTTTAATAGGGCCTTTCTTGGGAGAAAAACCATATTTCCGAAGACGAATGTACGTTATGCTCACGTAACAATGCGGGTGATTTGGCGACTGGTAAAGGAGGAAATCCCAATCATATTTCCGCCAGCGTTTTCTTCGTCTCCCCTTCATCCTCTCTTTTTCATCTCTCCTTCATCATCTCCTTGTTTCTTCTCTGTTCTTCTTCTTCCTTTCTTCTTCATCTTTTCCTCTTTTCTTTTCTTCTATCAGTTTCTTTTCTGAAATTATTATTTAGCGTAGGAAAAAAGAAGAATAAGAAGAGAGGCAGTGATGAACTGCCGGACGTAAGAAGTGTCTTTGCCAAGGATCGGTTTTTTAGCACGGGGAGCGACGATGGTGGCGTCGGCGGCGATGGGGAGCGACGATGGTGCCTTTGCCAAGGATCTGGGTCGCGACGATGGTGGCGTCGGCGGCGGCGTGGGAGTTAAGCCGGCAAACGAAAGAAACAAGAAAAAAAGAAGAATGGCGGTGGCTAGGGTTTGTGGGAGAAGAAGGGAAAAAGAAAAGAAAAAGAAAAAAGAAAAGAAAAGAGAAAAAGAAAAGGAAAGAAGGAACGTGGGGGAAGAAGGGAAAAAGTAAGGAAAAAGAAAAAAAGGAAAAGGAAAGGGAAAACTGAAAAGGAAAGAAAAATAATGGAAAAATAGTGTTCATAAATAAAAGAAAAGAAAAGGAAAAAAAATGTTTATATATATATAATTCATTGATTACAAATAATCTGTCAGAATCATAAGAAATTTTTCTTAAAAATAAATTAAAATCCATCTAAATCTACGTATACTTAAAATAATCTATTGATTTTATAGAATCTATGAATTTTAAACAATGTATCAGAATCTATTAAAATCTGGATTGAATACACCCTCCTTAGTCTCTTTTTTTTTATACCCGTTAAAACATTGAATATATATAAGGACTTCCATGTTTTTATTCTCGAAATAGGATTTACATTACCAAACATGGTCATGCACATTACCAAAAAAATATAGTCATGTGCACATGTACAGTGTCACATTACCACAGTGTAATATATTATTTCAGGAAAAAAACATGAAAGTCCTATATATTTTGATACTTTTTTCTGTATTTTATTCTTATTTAGGGTAATTTCTATTAAATTTAAATTTAAATTTGTTAGGTTTTATTACTCCGTATCTTGTTATTTTTATACAAATAAAGCATTAATTTTCTGTATGTATTTTGAAACTTTTAAATTTTATTTGATAATTGTTATTTTTTTGAAGCATAAACAAAGTTTAGAATATGGATATCATCTCTAAAAGATCTATAAAAATTATATAATAATTTTTATGAAACTTTATAATTTAAGTAAGAAATGATATGATATAATTTTACTTCTACTAAGTTCTTGTTGGTCTCGGTTATATTTTATCTTATGTACTCCTTCCATCCTAAAATTAACTTCTCATTTGACTTTTCGCAGTCTTCAATGTAACTCTTTAATCATTAAATTTATATGAAAAATCAATATACTTTTTCATAATATACGGTCAAAGATAAATAAGATTGACCACCAACTCTTGTAGACATTATACAACATTTATATTTTTAATCGTTTTCTACTGCCAATGTCTTTATTGTTTTTTGACCACCCAATATCTTTATAGTTAATTATTCATATAGTGTGAGTATTACAATTTGTCCTTATTTTAATTATACTAGTTACAGCATCTTATTCCATTAAACTTCATGTCATTGACGACGATATGAGATTCTTTGTGATAAATTTTAGAGGTAAAACATGTACTTGTTGCAATATTCTCAAATAAGGCATACATCTATTCTTGATACACTTCCGCGGTATGTTTTATGTTCTTACCATAATGTCTTTATCTGGCATATAGTGAACACCGTCATTGCGGTTTATGTTATTCTAAATTTCTCCATTGGCCCTTACAGTGTCCTTCATGTTCATGTTTAATTTATAGATTAATGTCCTCGTGCCTTAATTGTTATATAGTCCTTATATGTTTATATTCATCTGCACACCACCATAATGCATCACCAACATTATTGTCCTTGTCTTCAATGTTAATGTCCATCTGTGCAATTGCGGCCACCAATGTCTCATTGATGGCGACAAGGTAGAATGCAACATATATAATACGTACACATTGTTTTTGTTGAGCTTTTACAATACCATTACAATGATACAATAAAAAAACCATACCTTCCAAACTCCATTGTTTGGAAATGGCCAAATCACAGTTAGTCACATTTAGTTGATCTATTCATATAAAAACTCCAATGCTTCTAATATTGTTACAAACATGTCTAGTGAGCCCTGTGTGCATAAAAGACTATACCTGCTGAACTCAAACATGTCCCAATCATGAACAAAAAGAACCACATTGCCTTGTAGCGAACATACTGCAAAATCAAGAACACCCATTGTTTTGCTCTAAATACCAAAAGAGATAACCAAATCAGATTTATGTTCAAGTTACTGCATCAACCTTTCCATTGTAATGAATCATATGGATTACCAGTAGTGTTACAACCATTTCAACGTATGTTGAGCTGTACTGCCTGGCAATGAGAATTTTAGAAAAAAATAAAAGAAAAAAATACGTAGTGTGTAATCCAAATGAATTAATCTAGGGTACACCAACATTGGATACCCCATTTGTACATCAGGCTAACACCAACATGGGGTACCCTCATTTATAATGGTCTTCTACGAAGGATCTCCTAAATATGAAAATTAAATTTTAAAGAAGTGTATCGCCATCTAAACAAACATTGTCTCATACAATTAAATGTCCATTGCCATCTTACATACATAATGTCTTAATTGTTTTAATGCCCTCGTTTATGCGACTTTCCATTTAATAATGGCTCCTTTTCAAATGCACACCTACTTTTCACTTTTGATACCTCAATCTTATTTTATGCTAGCACAGATTATTTTTGGAATTCTCCCAACAAACCATTTTACTTTTTAAGGATATTATATATGTCGTTTCTCACAAATTTAGTACTGAATATCCTCACCAAATCTAAATTCACTCAGTCTACAATATGGTTTACTACGTCCTATACAAGTTTTACACAATCAGAATGTCCTAATAGTTTCCACATGTAGTAAATAATTCCAATTATATGTTGCTTCTAATCATACTCTTAATCCCACTGCACCTTTAATGTCCTCTTATACTATGTTCACAAATCATATTCTTCAAACCACACTCACATTCTAAACCAAGTTCATGTGTGTATAACCGAGGTCATTATATCACAAGAATCCACGTTGCAAACTAAGGTCATTAAACCACGTTATTATTTCTTAACCACACTTATATTCCACACTTAAGGTCATTTTCTTTCATGAATATTCATTTGTATCTGTAATGAGTCATTAAACCACACCAAGCATCTACACTCACATCCCACGCCAAGGTCATTAACCCACAATCATAGTCCATACTCAGAAAGTCTATACTACATATATAGGTAAACTATTCTATAAAATGTATTAACATTAAGGTCATTTCACAGGCATATAAATTATTTCTATTCTGAGGTCATTAAACAACACCTAATATCCACCCTCACATTCCATGCACATTCAAGTCATTAACCTGAAGTCACATTCAATTTCACATTTAGGTCTTTAAAAGCTCATTGACCTGCTACATTAAGGTCATTCACATGCATTTCCAACTAACCAATATGATTTTCATAATGATTTGGTTCTAGTGTTTCCTCTTCCCAAAGGCATTCTTTAACAAATATAACAAAAAAAATCAAAGTTATTCAAATGCCCAACAGTTTCTATCGTGTATATACTTCTTTTAGCAATATATAACTCACTGCATATATATCATCATGCATGCTCGGACTCTTCAAGAAATAAAGGCACATATGCAGATTTCCTATACGAATTACACTAAGATCTATCCTATATTAAAAGAACATGGACTTACTCGTCCTGAAGTGAGATTCACTATCAAATTCATCTGCACAATTAAAAGTTTGTCAATGAAGATATTGTCATCGTCTAGCTCGGACCTCGAACACAATCGATTTGGCTGCAGCTCTCTTCACCTGAAATTGTATTTATTGAGCAGCTTCACCGCCGAAAAAATGATATCTGCTAATGACCGAAATCTGCCAGTGGAAGGAGTCTGGTAACACATGGTGGTAACTATGGCGAGATTCCTTCCTTTTCATTCGCGACTCTCCGAATAAGGCGTGGTTTCACATTTTGCATTCATTGGTGCACAAGGCTATTTTAGTCATTTTCTTAGGAGAACGTGTCCTATTTACAGAAAAACTTTATGTTTAAGTCCTATTTGTGTAATTTTCTCCAATAACAACCCCAGCTCAACATATTGGCAATAAACTAAGCATTACAGGCACATAAAGCTCAGAGCACGGGAAAAGTAGCAATGAGCAAATTGGAGTTAACGAAGGTAAAATGCAACACCAAGAAGCAGAAAACACCAAGCAAAGGAAGACGAGACCGACAATTGCAATTGCAAGAACAACCAGCAAGCCTAAAATCCTACCCGACTACCGCAACTCTCGTTCTACAGATGCTCGTATTTAAAATAAAAACTAGTAGAAAAAGACTAAAGCAGGAGTTAAACATTGAAAATATACCAAAATAGGAGTTCTATGTTTTTATTCAATTCTCGAAATATGAGTTAAAATTGCCAATTATGACCATAATATTACCAAAAAGTATTGTGAAGATTTCTATATACAGTGTCACATTATCACATTGCAAACACCTATTTTGGAAATAAAAACATGGCTCCTATTTTTTTTTCTCTATGTTTTACTCGTATATATTTAAAAACTAGTACATCAAATACTTTCTAAAACAAGAGATGAGATGACTACGTTATTCACTAAATGTAATAGAAAGTGAAGTGTTCTCAAGAAATTACCAAGATAGTAAAAGAAACGGGATGTGTGCTGGTGTTGAAGGAAACCAACAACTCAACTTTACCAATTACAGAAGTCCTTTACTTTTTCTATGCAGCTAAATTTTTCACTCAGTTTGTTTGTGTGTGTGCACGCTAGTTTGTTTGTAGATTGTACGTGACCCCTAATGCTTTCCCCGTCCTGTAAAACTTTTCAAACTTTTTCATGTTACATGTCTCATAAAAGATTACAGTTTGGCTTAAGTGGGCACAATTTGTGTGCAAGCTGACTTTTCTTAAATCTAACTGAACCAACTCAAACTACCTTCTACGCCCTATCTATTTTGACATTTCTCAAACGTTTCACTTATCGTCGTTTCACCTTAGTCGATCAAACTTCTACAATTTCTTCTTACAAAGTTAAAACGAGAAATATTTTGCAGGATGGATGGGAGTATTATATTATTAGGGTTTGTAGCTTAAATATAATTTGAGATCAGAGTTGATGTGGCTTTACTAATTGACCTTCTCACACATATTTTTTTTATTTTAAAAATGCGTATTTCAACACTTAAAAAAAGTTTATTTACCATGGACCTTAGGTCCATGCAATAATTTGTCTACTACTACTATTTTAGCACCTTTTTCAACTACTCAGCTAGCATGTGATATTAGTATTTGACTTCTGCAACTTTTCTTTTCTTCCAGCTTTGCAATTTAATTTGCAGACATCCATGCTTGCTTAATAAATCATCAAAACATGCTTCCTTTAAAGAAACAAAACTCATGTAAACTTACTTCGGTTTTGGCATTGGCTTTGGCTTCAATATTTTATGATGGGATTCAAGCAACGGCGGATCCAGGATTTTAAGGTTATGGGGTCCTCTACCCGGCTACCTCACATTATCATATAAATAAAGTCATACCAATTCCACTCGACTCCGAATCTTTGAATTTGGCTAGCTTTTTGAAATACCTTTGCATTTTAAATTCTATAAATTAGATATAAAATGAACATCAATACAATAATACTAATCACTAGCAATCCTAAATCAATTTTTTTATTGAAGAAAAATCTTTGATTCTTTAATGTATAAATTATTATATATTACTAAATACTCATATATTCATATATCAAACTTCAAGGTTCAAATTACCATAAAAAATAAAAAATTAATTTTAGTAAAATACAGAAAAGTTTTTACCTTACCAGTTACTGTTGAGTCGTTGATTGGAGTGACGGAGTCCGGAGAGTGACTGCCTGAAGTGCTGCCGACAGAAAGAAGATGACGCAGATTGCCCGTTGCTGGCGGCCTGGAGGGCGGTGGCTGGTCGGATGTCGCAGTCTCACAGAAGTAAGAATGGCAGAAGCTGTTAGGGTTCAAAATCAAAATTAAAAGTGTAAAATAAAGAATTGGTGAACTAGGGAAGAGAGGAGAAACTTACAGAGAAAAGGGGGAGGGAAAATGACATCGTTTTGATGCTAATTACGAAAAAAATTGACTCCAAGAAAGAAAAAAATTACAAAAAAAATTGACTCCAAAAAAGAAAAAAATTGACTCCAAAATCAAAATTAAAAGTGTAAAATAAAGAATTGGGGAACTGGGGAAGAGAGGAGAAATTTACAGAGAAAAGGGGGAGGGAAAATGACATCGTTTTGGTGCTAATTACGAAAAAAATTGACTCCAAAAAAGAAAAAAATTGACTCCAAAATCAAAATTAAAAGTGTAAAATAAAGAATTGGGGAACTGGGGAAGAGAGGAGAAATTTAGAGAAAAGGGCAGAGAAAATGACAACGTTTGGATGTTAATTACGAAAAAATTGACTCCAAAAAGACACCGGACAGGGAGTCGAACCTCTGTCCAGTGGGAAGGGGTTAAGCGCACCAATCCACTCTTCTGCTGAACCAAACGCGATTTTATTTAAAATATGACAAGCGTTGTTTATATATTAATATCTATACATACCTAATATCTATATAGACCTACCCCGGGGTCCGTGGGGTCCCGGGACCCCATAGGACTCAAGGTGGGTCTGCCTCTGGATTCAAGGGAGCGTCACTCAAGGGAAAACAAGCAAACGCTCTATATTGGTCACCCACAGGTCGTTTTATCATATTGGCTGGCTTTAAGGGGCACAATAGGCAAGTGGAGTTCTTTAATGCAGATTAACTGGAAACCATGGCACAGGGCAGAACACTTCACGGCTACCGACATCGAACGGTATCCTACTGGAAGATATGTCGCAACATCTGTCACATGTGTTCATGAAATGGAGAATAGTTTCAACATCTGGTTATGTCGCAACATCTGTCACATGTGTTCATGAAATGGAGAATAGTTTCAACATCTGGTCTTTCCATGGCAAGCTGCTGTATCGGTTCTCGAGGGATCACTTCTTCCAATTTCGGTGGAGTCCAACGCCCCCATCTTTCTTGAGCAAGGAGAAAGAGGAGGAGATTGCCAAGAACCTGAAAAAATACAGCAAGAAATACGAGGCAGAGAATCAGGATGTTTCTTAGTGAGCAAGACCGCAAAAAGAGAAGGAAGTTGAAGGATGAATGGGAGGCGTGGATAAGCGAGCAGAACACAGACACATTGATAGAAACCTGTTAGAATTAATTAAGGATCTAAATTAATTCAACTCTCCTTCCTTTCTCTCAATACGAATCTCACCGATAAAAAGCGATAAAAGCCAAGAGGATCTCAGGAACAATGATTTATTTTATGCCTATCCCGCAATAGAGAAGCTGGGATATTTATAACTCTGTAACTGATTACATTAAATAACAACTAGGCTTCTGGGTTTCAGGACTCCTGACGACCTGTGAGTCCTTTTATTTAATGACTAGTGTTTTAAATTAAAGCAACAACAAATAAAGAGATAATATAATCAAAGCTGCTGATGTGGCCTGCTATAAGTGCTCCAAATCTTATCACACAAATAGCATATTACTCTCAAAGAAATATAAAGACCAACTCTAAGATGACATTCAAGTGCTAGTGCTAGTGATTTTGGATGATGCCACGTATCGATGTCTATAAATCAAATCCTAACAAATGACATTTCTATTTGGTACCTCCAGCACATTATTAATCCTCTTCCAGGTCCGAACAGCATGAGCATGGTGAATCTGCGCTTGCAAACATTGTATTAAATCTCAAGCCGTATAAAAACAAATTAACCGGTTTTGTTTCTTATACTTAACAGCTTGTTTCTATCTGATCTTTCTTTTGTTTCTTTAAAACTCTCGTCACCACAACCAAATTCTATAGAGTATTAATACTGATATTTATTCAGTCAAAGGAATGTCCTTTAGTATCATTTTATGTCAAGCTTTATGCAACAATGTTCGAAGAACACACTAGTAGTGATAGAACGATACAATTTTCTCTATAAAAACCTTAGTCAAGTACGAATGGGTTTCCATTGAGTTATTGAAGAAGGGCAAATACCTTGGCAAAGTGGGGCAGAGTTCATTTTATTATATTGATAATCCAAGACAAAAAAACACCAAGATCATCCCGTAGAGTTTTGGGCTCCCGACTATGTGTATTAAAATGTCCAAAATTTGAAGAATATGTCCCTTTTGAGCAAATCAAGCTTCACACGGAGTAAAATTTTTTTTAAAGAATAACAGAAGAGGAAAATCAGTGGAAAGCTTCTTTGTTGACCACTTTAGTGGATAAAAAGACAGCATATAGAGGAATGAAAAACCAGTGGAGTAATTATCATTCACACGCACAAAAACAGTGAGAGAGAGAGAGGGGAGTTCTGATGCTTTGTTTTATAGAATTGCAGGTCTGGTTTCTCTGTCTACCGGAGGTCCAAATCTTTTCTGATCGAGCTGAGTTTTTTGGAGGAGGTTGAGGACATATAAAACCTCAATCTGATGGTGGAGATCAAATTCCAACGGTTCAATCTTTATATATCAGCTTCGGATCAGACTGCTATTTTCTCGTGATTTCTTGCAATTTTGATTAGTGTCTTCGTAGTGTTGTTAAGGGCTAGATATCATTGTGTTGATGTTGTATTGTGCATTTGTACTCTCATTTGGTGCTAGTGGTGCTGGTTAGATCAAAGGGTCTCGTGGTTTGTTTCTTTCACGTTGAAAGGGTGTTCCACGTTAAAATCTTGTGCCTTGTATCGTTTTATTTTCGTGTTTGGATCATCTTGTCGCTTGCTACTGTTTTTGAAATATTTTTGTTGCTCCTCGCATATTCTTTCAAAAGCGAAAGGTGTTGATCCTGGGCATAACTCATTCTTTGTGTTGTTTCTTTTCCCAACATATCCATGCCCAATCAGTAAAAAGCCACATCAATAAATACATAAATTATAGTAAAGTCATCCAAAGCATCCCCAATCAATGAAAGAACTTTTCAGTTACTAAACCGTGTCAAAACTCAGTTCATTGTAAAGCCACTAAACACTTTAAAAAGTAATACTCCCTCTGTCCTATAATAAAATTGTGAAAAATGTCATTTCAAATCAACATGAGAAAAAGAGTACTGAAATTCATCCTTGACCTTTACAGCAAAACCAATTCCATGGTTATTACGATGATGGTTATAGTTTTACTAGTGCTTCTACCTTGTTTAGTGCTAATGATAATCAATCTTCACTACTTATATTTTGACAAATAAATATTAAACATAGAGTGTTAATGCAATTGCCTGTATGTGCCATTGTTGAATTAACAAGAAGATCAAAGTAGCCACACGTATCTATATGTTGTCTTCCAAGTGATGAGGTACACATCAGTTTCCATTGCAAGCTAGTGCAGACACCAATGCTAGAACTTACTGGCATCAATATAGCAAATTCATTTAGTTTCCTGTCAGGATGAAACAATAACAAAAACGATTCTGTAAAACAAACTATTTTTAAAAAAATAAGGAAATAGAAAATGATCCAGGTTCGGTTACGTGGAAGGATCTGAAAAAGAAGGAACAGAATCAGATTCCTCACTTAAAAATGACAGTATAAACTACTAGAGTTTGAATGATTAATTAGTTTGGGGTTGAAAAAAATTCATGTGAGATCTTTGTATTAAAAAAATATCTAAATCTTTTCAGGCAGTTTTTGCTCTTGTTCTCAGGCTTTTAAAAGTTCATCTCCGTTCAACATTTTAACCCCTTCCTACCCCTCCACCCACTTAGGCTTTTAAAAGAACATCCCCCCCAAATGTGTTTATAAAGAACATGTACGTGGGAATTGCACATTTTAGGGGTATGTAGATTTCAACTACTGAAGTTGTTGTTATATTGTGGGTGAACCGTGCAGGCAGAACGCCCGATGATAATATTCTTCTATTTGGAGGTTATTACATACTCAGTATCAATTTTAAATAGGTAATAAATGAGAGAAAATTTTGGACACTAGATGCTTCAATTCAGTGGCCACACTCATATAAAGCCTTAGAAGTTATGGCAGGCCACACATTACGCATGTTGATGAGTTGGATGTAATAAAAAAACCAAATCAAAAGAAATCATTCCAGTGCTAATATAGCACTCTCAAAGAGATATATAAGCCAACTCTAAGATGACATTCTGGTGCTAGTGCTAGTAATTTTGGAAGATGTCAAGTATCAATGTCTATAAATCAGATCCTAACAAATGAGATTTCTATTTGGTACCTCAAGCACATTATTAATCTTTTTCAGTGTCCGGACAACAAGAGCATGGTGAATCTGCACAACAAACATTGTTTTCATTCCCAAGCATTATAAAAACAAATTAACCATTTTTGTTTGTTATACTTACAGCTTGTTTTCTTCTTATCCTCTTTTCGCTTCTTTAAGATTCTCATTTTCCTAGCCAAACTCTCCACAGTATTAATACCGAGTGCCCCATTTGAGAGCTTATGAGGCAACTCATGACTAGGACGTTTTGCCAAAATCTCTGGTCTCTGAAGATATCCTGAAATACCAACCCACCTTGATCAAGAAAGACAGCCTAAAGTTTATGGAGTTGTTGCATAGGATCAGGGAAGCTCTTGGAGTTGAAGCATCTCCTATGTATTCAATTCCGATATTGGTTACTTCACCAGAAGCCAAGCCGGAAGGAACACATGTTGTTGAAGGTTCAAAAATCAAAGGTAAAGAAAAAGTGGAAGGAAAAAAAATGAAATCAAAACTAGCCAAAAGAACCCACCGTGTACCCCTGAAATGCAAACGGGGTGGATTGATATTTCATCATATCTTCAGAGGCCAGACATTTTGGCAAACCGACCTAGTCATGAGTTGCCTCATAAGCTCTCAAATGGGGCACTCGGTATTAATACTGTGGAGAGTTTGGCTAGGAAAATGGGAATCTTAAAGAAGCGAAAAGAGGATAAGAAGGAAACATACAGTAAGTATAACAAACAAAAATGTTAATTTGTTTTTATAATGCTTGAGAATGAAAACAATGTTTGTTGTGCAGATTCACTATGCTCCTGTTGTCTGGACACTGAAAAAGATTGTGCTGGAGGTACCGAATAGAAATCTCATTTGTTAGGATCTGATTTTTAGACATTGATACTTGACACTGAAATGTCATCTTAGCGTTGGCTTATATAACTCTTTGAGAGTGCTGTATTAGCACTGGAATGATTTCTTTTGATTTGGTTTTTTTATTACATCCAACTCATCAACATGCGTAATGTGTGACCTGCCATAACTTCTAAGGCTTCATATGAGTGTGGCTACTTAATTAATGCATCTAGTGTCCAAAATTTTCTCTCATTTATTACCTACTTAAAATTGATACTGAGTATGTAATAACCTCTAAATAGAAGAATATTATCATCGGCTCTTTTGCCCGTGCGGTTCTTTCGACATAGGTCTTGGGTTCCAAAATACGATGCTGTGCCATTTGGGGGGCTATGCTACTGCATTGTGCCCATGCCACGGGATGGGTTTAGTAGTGCAAAGTAGGGGGTGTTGCTTGTGTTTTGGCATTTGTGAAATCATCACGAATGATTCATTCTGACGAGCTTATTTTGCCAGAATCATTTGGAATAAAGATATGTTAGTACTGTTGCTTGGTCTTGATTTTGCTAATTCTCTAAGACAAGTGCCTCTGGTGTATGTTTCAAAGCTTCCAAGCCTGAATTATTTGCGATTTGTGAGTAGAAGTAATTGCTTCATCCGGCCCCCAGTTTTTGTCTACTTTCATTTTTACATATCATCCAATGCACTTCGTTAATCCATTTTATCTTGTAATTTTTATATTAAAAAATTATAAAAATTATATATTAATAATCTATATGTTAAAACAAATCAAACAAGATCGCACATGACTATATTTAGGTTTACACATTGAGAGAATTTGATGAGTCAAAGTGCTTAGATGAACAGTTCCAAAAGTCAAAAGTGGACAAAAACTGGGGGACGGAGGGAGTATTATTTTCTAACACTGCTATCCAATAAAGAGAATGAATGCCTCATGTCATGTACGCACTAGTTGAAATCTACATTCACCCACAATATAACCCCAGTAGTTGAAATCTACAAACCCCTAAAATGTGCAATTCTCATGTTCATGTTCTTTATAAACACATTTTGGTTGGGGGGCAAGAAGGGGTTAAAATGTTGAATGGAGATGAACTTTTAAAAGCCTGAGTTATAGGAAGAGCAAAAATTGCCTGAAAAGATTTAGATATTTGTTTATTTTTTTAATATAAAGATCTCACATGAATGTTTTCAACCCCAAACCAATTAATCAATGAAACTCTGGTAGTTTGTACTGTCATTTTTGAGTGAGGAATCTAATTTTGTTCCTTCTTTTTCAGATCCTTCCACGTAACCCAACCTAGATCATTTTCTATTTCTTTATTTTTTAAAAAATAATTTGTTTTACAGATTTCTTTTTGTTTTTGTTTCATCCTGACAGGAAACTCATTGAATTTGCTATATTTATGTCAGTAAGTTCTAGCATTGGTGTCTGCACTAGCTTGCAATGGAAACTGATGTGTTATAAGTCACCTCATCACTTGGAAGACAACATATAGATACATGTGGCTGCTTTGATCTTCTTGTTAATTCAACAATGGCACATACAGGCAATTGCATTAACACTCCAAGTTTAATATTTATTTGTCAAAATATAAGTAGTGAAGATTGATTATCATTAGCACTAAACAAGATAGAAGCATTAGTATAACTATAACCATCATCGTAATAACCATGGAATTGGTTTTTATGTAAAGGTCGAGGATGAATTGAAATGGCATTTTCCACAATTTTATTATACGACTGAGGGAGTATTACTTTTTAAAGTGTTCAGTGACTTTACAATGAACTGAGTTTTGACACGGTTTAGTAACTGAAAAGTTCTTTCATTGATTGGGGATGTTTAGATGACTACTATAATTTATGTATTTGTTGATGTGGCTTTTTATTGATTGGGCAAGAATGTGTTGGGAAAAGAAACAACACAAAGAATGAGTTATGCTCACGATCAACACCTTTTGCTCTTGAAAAAATATGTGAGGAGCAACAAAAATATTCCAAAAATAGTATCAAGCAACAAGTAATCTAAACACGAAAATAAAACGATACGAGACACAAGATTTTAATGTGGAACACTCTTTCAACGTGAAAGAGTAAAAAACCAGGAGACCCTTCGCTCTAACCAATTCCACCACCACAATGATATCCAGCCCTTAGCAACACTATGTAGGTACTAGAATCAAAAGAGAGGAACAAAATTGCAAGAAATCACCAAAAAATAGCATTCTGATCGAAGCTGATGAATAAAGATTGAACCATTGGAATTTGATCTACATCGTTCAGATTGAAGCTTTATGTGCCCTCAACCTCTTCCAAAAAATTTAGCTTGATCGGACAGGATTTAGACCTCCAATCGATAGAAATACCAGACCTGCAATTTTGTAGAACGAAGCAGCGGAACTCGTCTCTCACTGCTATTTTGCATGCGAATTAATAAAGTATTCAAGTACTCCGTAAAAATACCAGAACTTGCTCTTTTTAAACATCATAACCCGAATCACAAATTTGCCATTCCATAGATTTTGAGTCTTAATCCAAGGCTTACCACTATATCTTCCATATTATTCTGACAATCCAACACTCACTGAGTGTGATGCATTCATCAACAAGCTCACTGCCAGGCTTAGAGCTCATGAGTGTGATGTATTGATCAACAAGCTCACTGCTAGAATAACTGCTTGAGGATCTAGACATTTCTCATACATGGCTAGAGTTAGACTTATTAATTCAGTTTTGATGGGAGTAATCACCTTTTGGACCAGGATTTTCATTCTCCCTAAAGGGATTATGAAAAAGATTATGGCTATATGTAGGAACTTTTTTTTATGGGGAGGCACAGCTGCATACCATAGGACACCACTGGTCCAGTGGGATGAAATCTGCCAACAAAAAAAGTATGGAGGTTTGGGGGGTTTGGGGATCAGAAATATTCTAAACAGGAACACAGCTGCAATTATGAAGCTCAATTGGGATGTGGCTGAAAAGAAAGACATAATGTGGGTCAAGTGGATCCACACTAGATATATTAAAGGTGGAGATTTCTGGAACTACAAACCTAAACAGGATGCATGCTATTACTGGAGAGAAATGATAAGGGTGAGGGACAAATTCAATGCCATGCCAAACCAGCAACCGTATATCATTAAGGCAGGTTATAAATGGCTACAAGGGGATAAGGATAAACCTGAATGGAGACATTGGGTATGGAATAGTTTGACACCTCCTAAATTCAGGTTTATAGGATGGCTTTTCTGGAAAAGGAAGATACAGACGAAAGAGAGGATTGCTAGATTCCTGGATATAAGTGCAGAGTGTGAATTGTGTGGTAATGCAACTGAAACCTAGGATCACCTATTCTTGGAATGCGAAAGTGTGAAACCAGTGTTCCAAAACATCATGGAAATGTTCAATATGAAGCTCAGACTTGGTACTGGAATTCGGGCAGAAATTCAAAGATTCAAGGGTGGGAAGGATAAAAGAATTATGCTGGCCATTTGGGGTACGTATGTATACTTCATATGGAAATGGAGAAATGAGATTAGGCACCAAAGAAGGTAGACAATAGAAGAAGTCCAAGTCCAAGCCATCCAATATATTAGAAGTTATCTTTACTATATGAAAACCTTGCCTTAAATATTTGTAGTTGGTCTGATCTCTGATGTATGTATGCCGGTTGTACCCAAACTTTTGACTTGGTAATAAAGCTTGTGTTTTTGTGCAAAAAAAGAGCTGGCGTGCACCTTTATTTTATCAAATAACTAACAAAAATAGATAAAAACATGATTAAAGTTTGAACATGTGAATAGTAACTAGTAAGAAAGTTTTATAGGGCAAATGGAGTATTTTTGTGCTCATCTGTTTAAGCAATTTTTTAAAATTATCTTTTTACACAACCCCATATAGTTTTGTTTATTCAAATCACAATTATATTCTATCAATTTATGAAATGGATGAGGTGGAGAGGCATTAACAAACTTCCACAACGGTAAGGAAAAATGAGCTGCTACGAGACATTTGTGGTTCCAATAAGTGAGAGATCACGTTGATATGCAATTCTTTCTCTAAGTTCAGGATTGCTCTACTGATTAAGTGTTACTACATTTCTCATTTGACTATAAAAAGCTAAGATTTAAAAATAAAACCATAAACTCCTTTCGTAACGCCAAAAAGTGAACTCTTTTCTTTTTTGTTTGTAAAACAAAACTTCAAAATTTGTCCATTCCCTTTTAAACAAAAGAATGAGTGGCCCATTACATTTCTCTCTCTAAATAAACTATAAGAATTCCAGTATTTACATTTCATCATGTTTCTTAAACTTTATAAAATTTGAATAAATAATTTTTTTCTGGACAAATATAGTATTTAAATTTATAGTAAAAAGGTTGGGAAGAAAATGAACAAAAAAAATTAAAGCATAGAGATCAGGCAACAAGTTATACCTGGTGAGGTCTAATAGAATGATGAGTGAACGCAACCCTTACCCGATTTGGAGATTAAAGAGGCTACTTAGAAAAAGATCTCTTACTCAACACACCAACAAACCTTGAAAGCAAAAAAAAATATAGAAAAAATAGAAAACGAAGAAAGAAATGTCAGAACAAAATTGAACATACAATAAACTAAAAGAACAAGCAGGCATTTAAATACAACAAATGAAAGGAACAAGCACAAGGTTTGGATCTATGTTGCACGAAAATGACAAACTAGTTGCCGCACGCATTTGGGATACCTCGGAGATGCCAAATGCATCGGATACTGCTCCAAATGTCTCCTGAACGCCGGTTGAGGCATAGAAAAAATAATAATAATCCCTCCGTCCCACTCTCTTTGTCCACTTACCTTTTGGCACACCATCTAATGCACTTCTTTAATCCATTTTATCTTGTAATTTGTATATTAAAAAATTATAGAAATTATATATTAATAATCTATATGTTAAGACAAATCAAACAAGATCACACATGACTATATTTAGGTTTATACATTGGGAGAATTTGATGAGTCAAAGTGCTTAGATGAACAGTTCCAAAAGTCAAAAGTGGACAAAGAGAGTGGGACGGAGGTAGTATGTTATATGCTAGGGGAAAAACCTGTGAAATGCATCTCAAAGGGGGAACCGGAAATACTGAGATAAGATGAAGGAAAAGAAGAAAATAAGAAGAAGATTAACATCTCTGATCCAGATCCACAGGCTGCAGCTTCATCAACCCCCCCCCCCCTATGTTATTTACTTACATCTCTGATCTATAATTTGGGCTTGTATATATAGTGGGCTTAGACACACACAAGGCCTAATTTTCTAACAAATTAAATTATACTAGTACTCTAAATTACTCCATTTGTCCCATAATGGAGGTTATCACACTCTAAATATTGTTTAAAATATCTCATCATTTGTTAATTCATTTTGATTATATATTGGTATAGAAATAACAAGTATGAATTACATTGTTTAAAAATACATCCAAAGTTTTACTTCTTCTGTCCTAATTTAAATCGTCTGTTTCGATTTATGATTTTCACTGAAGTTATTTTCAAATCATTTTAAATGAAAAGTTGTGTAGAATTAAAAATACAAATTACATATTTAAAAACTACATCAAAGGATGTACCAAACAAGTAGTGACATTATTATATTATTTTTTTCAAATGATTAACGAGAATATGTAAAGAAGATGAATAAAATTTGACTTTGTGAATAGTAAATAGACAATTTAATTTAGGACAGGACGAGTACTTAGCAATAGATGACAAATGTATATTATTTTATTAAATAGTCAAATAAAATGAACAAACAAAAATTATCAAGTTACTGTAATAGTAACACTGACACCCATTTAGAGACGGAGAGACTATTTTTTAAAACAAAATTAATATTATAGTACTCTCTTTGTTCGAGAATGTTCTTTTGTGTTGACCTCACACACTTATTAAGGAGTAGTAAAAAAGTACCACATTTCAAAAAATGCACATACTATAAGCTTTTAAATCTCTTTTTCTTATAAAAACAATGAAAAGTAGATTAGTGATGAAATAGAAGAGTATTATTGAAATGTATTCTTAAAAAGTATACTAAAAAGGAAATGGAAAAAATAATTCCAAAGGGACCAAAAAGAAAAGTGGGAAAAACATTTTCGAACAGAGGGAGTAATACATACTCTGTATAACAAAGTTATAGTATTATACTCGTAATTAAATATGGTAATAATTATCTTAAAGAATTAAATTTTTAAATTGTTATATATATATATAGTTGTTTGGTTTGAAATTATGAAATTAGCTACTGGAAAAGGTTCGTGTCAAATTCAGGAGTATTAGGGTCTGTTCGGTATACGAAATTGACGAAATTGGAATTGAATTAAAATTAAAATCCTATGGAATTGAATTTGATGAGATTGAATTTTTTAATTCCAATTCATTTTTTGCACAACTCATTCGAAATCTGCATAATTTTTTTGCTAACACACAATAGAATTAGAATTAAAGTTTCCAATTACAATTCTATGACATGAATTCCGTGTACCAACTTTATTGAGTTTCCTGTCAAATGATATAACCAGAACTATTTTTCTAGTAAGGAAAATGATCTAATTCAAGTAAATGGAGTATGCTTTGTTAAAATAGGGGTTGGGAGTGGGCAAGAAGGGGGAGAAATTTCAAAATTAGAACTAAACAATAAAACATCATACTCAAATGAATTTTTTAAAATCAATTTACCAAGTCCAAAACACAAGAAATTTAAGCTAGTTCACAAATCATTAACCCTTTTGACCGAGCACACTTAAGCTAAGCTACAATGACTACAATAAAACAAGCCCATTCTATCATTGATGTTGTCTTTTTGTTCCAAACTTGGGATGAAACTTGACACTTCCTTTGACAATGTGGCCAATGTTGTAAAACAAAGTGGAACTAATTCTAAATTTGGTGGCAGGTCCTCCATCAATGAGAGGGGTAATGTTCCCTTCATATCTCAAACAACAATGATTTCTCATGCACATTTCGTACATTCGAGTTGATAGAATCACTTGTTTTTATTTATGATATTAGCTGAAATTATTTTTAACAAAATGTATTTTAGAATTGAGGAATTTAAAAAAATTACGCGTTTAAGAACTATATCAAAAGTTCTACGAAAGAAGAAAGGACATGACTCAACGAAAATAAGGAAAGTTGTAAATTTAACCATGAGAATTAACAAAAACTTAATTTGGAATGAAAGGAAGAAAATCCAATTTTAATTAAAATTATTCCCTATTTAGGTTTTAAAAAAATTAAAAGTTTATTTTCTCTTTCTATAAGATTAACCTAATTGAAAAAGTTCTTCCTAAACATTTTTAAAAAATCAGCATCTAAACGGAAAAGCAGAATAACATCTAAGTGATCCTTCTGAGCAAAAATAGATGAAAGTGGTGGCACCTCGCCATCTTGAAGCCCCCATAAGAGGGAAAGAAATGTGTTAGTCTTGCCATTTAGCAGTCCTACGCCTTTCTTGCTCCACTTACAGCCACAAGCCCTTTTACAAGCTAGGGCATATTAACTTGCAAAAATTTATGAATGTGTAGTCTAGCCATTTCTAAGCCTGAGGAGGAAAAGATATGTGTTAGCTCCTCGACATCTTGCGGCGGGAAGACCTAAGCCCAATGTCTTTTTGTATCCGCATACTTTTGCAGCTCCTCTTTCCTAGTGGTTGGAGAAAATTACGAAAGCACTTCAAGTTAAAAAAATCTATCAAATATTTAATGCCTATTTTGCTTCATTCACCAAAAACTAAGTCAAAACGGCAATGCCGTGAAGATTCGAAAAGGCAAAAGAAGAAAAAATGAAAAAAATAACGTAAAAGATATGTAAACAAAACTGAAAAGCAAATGCACGAGGAGGAACCATGTACAAGTACAAGAACAGGCCTACAACAATTGGATGATGGATCTTCAGATAGTTTCTAACGATAGACACTAAGTGCCCTTCTAATTTGATCGGAGAGATCTTTATCTATAGGGATATGAAAAAAATGACGAACCAATTATCAATTCAAAGACTCACGTTTAGAAGATGTTTCGGGGCTATTTGGATTTTAAGTCAAGCTATGCTAATTTAGTTGTATCCTCCAAGTGCCCTCACCACAAACTAAACCTCGGCTTTTAAGTTTGTGCTGAAGGCAATTGGAGGTTGCAACTATATAAACGTAGCTTGTCTCAAAATCCAAATAACTCGACAAAAATCTTGTAAACGCGAATCCTAGAATTGATAATAGGCCCCGTCATTTTTTTATTATCCCAATAGATTAAGATCCCTTTAATCAAATCCAAGAGACATTCAATGTTCATCGTTATAAACTATCTGAAGATATATTATCCAATTACTGTGCAAATACTGTAGGCTTGTTCTTGTAGTTGTACACGATTCCTCTCAGTGTTTTTGCTCTTTAGTTATGTTTTTGATTCTCTTTTCCTGCACTTTTTCTTTTCCTTTATTTTTTGGCTTTTTGAATCTTCAAGGCATCTCTTCCGACTTAGTTTCTAGTAAAGACAGCAAAATCGTGATTAAATATTTAGAAAATTTTTTAATTTTAAGTGTTTTTCTAACTTTTTCCACCAACTCCATATACTTTAACTTATCTATGTCAAGCTTTGGTTTTTCCATTTTCTAAAAATCCACGAGATGTTGACACAAGAAAAGGGGAGGTGCAAAGGCGTGCGGGTAAAAGACAACAATGGGCTAACGCATTTTTTTGCTGCAAAATGTGGAAGTGTTGACGGATCTCTTTCCCTTTTCAGGCTTAGGGGGGGATGGCTAGAGAACAAAACATTCATCAATTTTTGCAATTTCAACAAGTTATTGCGCCCTAGCTTGTAGAACAAAAAGCTAGCGCCTTTAGGCAAGCAAGAAATGATAAGAAAGGTGCACTGAGTGAGATGTGCTATTGCATTCTTTTCCCTCTTCGAATTGCTTAGAGATGGCTAGACACCAACACATTCATGAATTTAAGTTCAAGTGTTCTACATAGATGTTTCTATGATTATTTGTGTCGAAGTTAATTTTTTGAATGTTTGAGAAGAACTTTTTCAATTAGGTTTAACATAATAGAAAATGAAAGTAAACTCTTAATAGAATTATTCAAACTTAAATAGGGAATAAGTTTTAGTTAAAATTGAATCTTCCATTATTCATTCCAAACATAAATTTCAAATAAAATGTATTAAAAAGAATTTAGGTTAATAACGTAAATCTAAACAAGTGTTGCAACCCCGAAACCTTGATGTTGTTTAATATTGAAAAATATTCAAATAGAGTTCAAAGGACAAAGCATCACAAAGTGTTTCAAACCAGAAAAACCCAATGTCCCTACTATGAGAAAGCATCTTGAACATCCTAAAAAAGCCCAAAAAAACTCCATTTATTCTAACTCTGCTCAACATTAAGAAGGTTCTATTGGGTTATTCGGTGAAGGCTTTAGAGCTTTGGGCTTTAAGCATGGTCGGTTAAAGGGTAGAAATAACGGTGGCCGGTTTTAGTTATTAATTAAAGGGCCCATTAGTTGTTTCTTGTTTAGCAAGTTGTTAGCCCTAATTTATATCTTATAAATACCCAATCATGTAACTATAATTTGTGAGCACCTAATAAAAGATAAACCCTAGTTACAATCCATGGAGTAGGTTACTGACCGAATCACATTAAATCTCATGTTCTTATTTTTTGCTATTTGTGTGTGTGTGTGTGTTTGTTCACTTCCGCTTGACCGCCTCTGATCTGTTGTTTACCGCACTGTCATTTCTTTTGTTTAGTAAATAAAAGAGCAAACTATTGATGATGACACGAGAAACTACTTGGAGCTGTAAAAGTATAAGGGCAACACTTTATGTTGAAGTATATCATATCCCTAATCTCTATTTTACTTCTTTAGCCAAAATTGAAGCAAGATGGGTCATGACCTAACAATCCAAAAAGTGATGAGATATGGTAAAGAAAATTAAAAAACACAATTGATAGACAAATAAAATATACTCTATCCGTCCCACTATATTCATCTAGTTTGATATTTTTAGTCCAATTCAATTAAATTTTATCATCAATTGTTCTTAATTTGTAATGCATTTCACTCTTTCCGTCCGCCAAAAATCTTCTCAAATTGACTTTTTGTGGTTTTAAAGAGAAGTTGAAAAAAATGAATGTTTACTAAAATATCTTTAATGAAAGTGGGTGGAATATTTTAAATGAGGTGCGTGATACGTAAAAAATAAAGTGATACTAGTTTTGGTACTTTAAATGTTAAAAAAAGTAAATGGAAAAATCTTTCCCGAACAAAAAAGGCATTTGGGAGTAATATAAATGTATAATTAAATTAAATTTAAAAAGTATCTTTAGGATAAATATAATTGAATTATTTTTATATTTAGAATAAAAATTTTGATTAATTGAGACTCAAAATTCATTTAGTTTGACTTAAAAAATCAAAGTAAAATAATACATTGGGACAGAGGTAGTTCATAGCTTCCTTAAAATAAATTTCATATTTCAGCTACGAGACATATGTGGTTTCAATAAGTGAGAGATCTTGTTGACATGCATTTCTTCCTCTTAGTTCAGGAGTTCTCTACTTATTACATGTTACTACTTTGCTCATTTGACTGACAGAAGCTCTAAGTTTTTTTTTAAATATACTCCTTCATAACACCAAAAAAGTACTCTTTTCTTTTTTGCTTGTACCAAAAACGTCATAACTTGTCCATAACATTTCTCTCTCTAAATAAATTCTAACAATATCAGTATTTACACAGAAATTATAACACATTTCTTAAACTATATAAAAGTCGGAAACAAAAAGTTTTGTTCGACAAATATAGTATTTTGTAGTAAAAAGGTTGGGAAAAAAATTGAACAAAAAAATTAAATCATAGAGATCGGGCAACAACAAACCAAGTAATACCTGAGGTCTGATAGAATGAGTATATGCAAACCTTACCAGATTTGGAGATTAAAGAGGCTACTTAGAAAAAGATCTCTTACTCAACACACCAACAAACCTTGAAAGCAAAAACAAGTGAAGAAAATTAGAAAACGAAGTAAGAAATGTTAGAACGAAAATGAACAAACACACATTTAGATCCATGTTGAACGAAAATGACGGAATAGTTGCCGTAGGCCTCTCGGATACCTGGGAGACGGCGAAATGCGACAGTGACGGCTCTTCGAAACGCCGGGGAGACGCCGCTGGAACGCGTCTCCCTCTACAGAAACGCGGGAAGAGGAAGGCTGAGAGAAGATGAAGGAGAAAAAGACATAGGAAGAAGGTCGCCTCATTCGTCCTCCAGATCTATAGATCTCTGTCGGGTAGATGTACTTCTCCCACCCGCCGCCTCTCTCACTCTTTGTTACTCCGCATTTAAGGGTTGACGTTATATGTCATATTATTGGGCTTCTATATGTGATGGGCTGTTACAGCTAAGACCCCGTTCCGTTTAATTTATTTTTTCTGCTTTTTTCTTAATCTTATTAAGATCAGATCAGATCTAATCAAATCAGATCAGATCAGATCAGAACCAATCAGATTAGATCAGATCAGATCAGATCCAATCAGATCAGATCAGATCTGATCAGATCAGACCAGATCAGATCCAAATAAGAATTATTATTATTATTATTATTGTTATTATTATTATTATTATTATTATTATTATTATTACTACTACTACTACTATCATTATCAATATCTTTATACTCCTTACTTTTTAAATTCCATATTTTTTAGTTGTTTCATTTGATACGGTTTTTTTAAAAAATAAATTTAATTCTATTTAAAAAATATAAGAAGAAAGAACATGAAACTTTTTGTGTGATTATAATTTATGTAGACTAAAATAAATGATATGAAGCACAATTGTTTTCTTAAAAATGAAAAATAATAAACTTTAGAAACAAGCTAAATAGAAACCCGAGAAAGTAATCTTTAATTATTAATGAAAAATGTATTATTTCTTTTCTTAACATTGATAATATAAGGATGTGATCTTTTAATAAAAATATTAATGATTATTAATAACATTGATTATCTATATTAAATAACATTTTAGTGCATATATAAATTAAATAATTATTCTAATGTTTATATAAACTAATTATTAAAATATTAAATCAATATTATTCATTAAAAAAATCATAAAATAAAAAATATTATTACATTATAATATGAATGATTATTCTAATATATGAGTTAATTAATTTTGTTTCATTAAAAAATAATCATAAAAAAATATTGATTATATTATAATATGAATTATCATTACAATTTTCAATCAAATCAGAACCAATCAGATCAGATCAGATCAGAACCAATCAGATCAGATCAGATCCAATCAGATCAGATTAGATCCAATCAGATCAGATCAGATCAGATCTAATCAGATCAGATCCAATCAGATCAGATCAGAACTTATTAAAATCAGATCAGATCAGAAAAAATAAGTTGAACGGAACGGAGCCTAAGGCCTAATTTTCTAGGCAAATTATTCCATCAATCTAAATCCATATTCATTTTAGAATAATTGAGGTTTTTGAAAAAAAAGAAAATATTTAAATGTAGGTCTATGAAAATGTGACAATGTCCACATTTTACATTTAGATCTTGAAATAATGTAAGCATCACTCAATTTTCTAACATATTTATTTATAAAGTGTATAATTATTTTTTTAAATAACAATTAATATTATGTTAATGCATACTCCGTATAATAAAATTAAAATTTTATTATTAGATATCATACGAGTGATAGTTACAAAAAATTACTGCCGAGTATCCTCAATTTTGTGATAAGAACTGCCAGGTCCCATTATTTTTCTAAATATACTCCGAGATACCTTAAATTATCCAAAAAATTACTAAAGGTGACATTCCGTCCATGCCTCCGTTAGTTTCTCTATCCGTTATCCTTTTCTTCTTCTTTCTTGTTTCTTTCTCTTTTTTTTTCTCTCTTTCTTGTACCAGCCCCCCCCCCCTTCCCAATCCCCATTAGAGACCAGCGCCCCTCCCCCTCCCCATTTTTTAGAAAGAGACTAAACTATTTATTTTAGAAAAATTGCAATACTTATTATTATTATTATTTCATGCTGAGTATTTATTATTATTTTCATCGTATTCTATTATTATTATTATTATTATAAATTGCTCCATATTATTTTTATTTATTATTATTACTATTATTATTATTATTATTAAAATTAGTTATTATAAAAACAACATTGATTTTTATTTAGGAAAATAGCACTTATTATAAAAGACACTTATTATTAATACTATTACTTCTTAAAAGAAAATAATTAGTAATTTTACTACTTTACTCTTTTATAAAAATAACAATACTTATTAGTATTACTTTGTATTAATTATTATATATTTATTATTTTTTTTATTTTTCTTCTATTTTTTTAATTTATTATCATTATTAAAAGTTTATTAGTAGTTTTGTTACACTATTTTCTTTAAGTAAAATAACACTAATTATTATTTAAATTAAAACTTATTATTATTATAATTAAAAACAATTACTAGTACTTTTACTACTCTAATTTTTTGTCATTCCATGTTATCTTTCGCATTAGTCACGTAGTGGTCAGCAGCAGCAGCCACTGATAGTGGGGATTCTAGAAAATGAGAAGACTTGGGGTAATAATAAGACGGGTAAATTCATGTGGATTTTTTATAGATAATGTAAAATGATAAAAATGATGTTAAATTTCATATTAATATAATGAATTAAGGCATATAATTTATAACCAAGGGAATACATTTTTTTTAGAAACTATACATAAATATATTACAAAAAGTAATTTTTAATTAAAGCTTTAAAATAAGTTAGTCTTTTTTATGCAAGTGAAAATTGGAAATTGGGAAAGGTCAATGTGGGAATACAATTGTTTTTAATGGGTTTTTAAGTTTATTTTGCTAAAAAAGTTAGAGTAGTAAAACTAATAAATAAGTAAAATGATAAAATTAAATAATCATAATTATTATAAAATATACTAGTAATAAAATAATACAATAACTAATAATAAAATAATAATAATAACTAATAGTAATAATACTAATAATAATTATAATAATTTTAATAATAATAAAAGAAGAAGAAGAAAAGAAAAAATAGAGGAAGAAAAAAGGGGGGAGGGATTTGGGTGGGGGGGTGGGTGGTCTCTTATGGGAATTGGGAATAGAAAAAAAAAGAAAGAAAGCGAGAAAGAAAGAAATAAGAAAGAAGAAGAAAAAGATAACGGACATTGAAAGTAACGGAGGCATTGACGGGATGTCACCCCTTAATAATTTTTTAGATAATTAAAGTACCCCGGAGTATATTTAGAAAAATAATGGGACCTGACAGTTCTTGTCATAAAATTGACGGTACCCGGCGACAATTTTTTCTGATAGTTACATACTCCCTTTGTCCCTAAGGGCAATGCTAGGGGTACCCCATGTTGGTGTATCCCTAGCTTAATTCATATTTGTCACACTTTTCTTTATCATCCGTTTCAAAAAAATCACCACATTTCCACCGCGGACTCTTCATCTTCTCCACCCTCTAATCTCATCCTCTTCTTTGCTAATCTTCGATTTATCCACCATCTCAAATTCTTCTCCGCCACAATCTTCGTCTTCTCCACTCCCTAATCTATGGGTAGTCGAGATCGCTCATATCCCAGTTTTAATCTGTCGCTATCCTACTCCTTCGACCTCTACTTCTGATACAGACCCAACTTGGAAGTATCGTAAGAAGTACGGGGATGTGGCAATGTTTGATGAATCATGTCTGGAATTTGAGAGGAAGAAGGGGAATCGGAAGAGGTGACATCTGACTATGATCCTAGACAATTGGACTGCATAGATTACGGTTTGATGATGAACCCTCCACTAATACCCTTTGATCTTCCTTCGTGTGGTATGACCTCCCCTCAATTACTTCTTTTCTTAATAGATTGTCTTTGCATGTTATGGTAATTCAATCTCTTAACTAATGATGAAGGGGGGATTAAATTTCAACACTTTTTAGTGAGGCCATCACATCTTTGTTCTATTTGTGAAATCAATTTGTGTATTTGGTTGTCTAAAGGTGTGGCCCGAGGTGCATAAGGCCCAAATCTTAGAATATTTGCCCTTGAGGTGTATAATAATGCCTAGCCCTTGCTGCCCAAAAATGTGTACCTTTAATGTTTGATGTGTGGTCTGTGCTGTTGTGTTGATATCAAAATCTCTGGTCTGTGATGATATTACTATCTGTGATGAGTTTAAAACATGAGACCTATGTGTTGCTATTCATTCCCCATGTGAGATGTTACCGAGTCCGACTGTTCTGTGGTCTGTGATAAGTTTAAAATCTGAGACCTATGTGTTGGCACTCATTCCTTATGTGAAAATTTGCCCATTATCTATTTACACTGATTCTGATTAGGCAAATCATAAAGATAATCGCAAATCTACTACTGGTTACCTACCCTTGATTGGCTCCAATCTCATCTCTTGGGGTACGAAAAGCAGACCCGTATCTATAGATCTATCATTAAAGCTGAATATCGTGTTATAGCTGCAGGCGAGGATGAAGCCACAACATTACTTATGTGCTGGCCATCCCTCCATCAAAATCTTGCCTATATTGTGACAATAACTCTTCTCTTTTCTATTAAAAAACCACTTTTACCCATATTAAGTCTTAACCTACCTATCACATCACACTTTTTCTTTATTAATCTACCTATTTCATCCTACTTTACCCACACATCAAAAGGTATTTTTGGAAAGTCAACACCAAAATATACTTCACTTAAATTCTTTAAAAATCAAAATGAGAAGTTAGTACTAGATATATTACTCTTATTATTTTGGAATTTTGTTTCCTTATTTACTTAGGCTTTACCTCCTCATATATAATGTACAAATACTCAATCTATGGTGAATAAAGTATATCCAAACTATATAATGCACAGTAACAAGAATAAATGAACCTAAAAGTTCACTCACTTAGGGGCTGTTTGTTTCAGCCTTTTAATGGTTCAGATGTCTGAATGGTTCAGTACTTAATGGTTCAGACTGTTTGTTTCAGCCTCTTAATGGTTCAGATGTCTGAATGGTTAAGAGATTTGCCTCTGAATGGTTAAGTATTATACAGAGTCTGAATGGTTAAGACCTCTTATCTGAATTGATCAGACATTTGCCTCTGAATAGTTAAGCAATATACTAGCTCTTAATGGTTCAGACCTCTTACTGGTTCAGCACTTA